CCAGCTGCTCTAAGTGCCGTGGGCCTACTCCCCGCTACCGGCGTGTTTACCCCCCTGCAACCCTTCCAAGTCACGGCCACAGGTAAGTACCGGCCTGGTGGGCCTTGCAACCAACAAGTACCCGTGCGGGTCACACACACATACCCAACCAGCAAGCACTCAGACAGGCATGCAAACCAGCAGGCACGCATACACACAGACTTGGGACCATAGCAGAATGCGGGAATCACAGCAAGGCATTCATTCCATTGGCAAATCCCAGAAATCAGCAGTGTTCTCAGTCTGTGTTCTCTCTGTGTCATTACATCTCTCTCTCTCTCTCTCTCTCTCTCTCTCTCTCTCTCTCTCTCTCTCTCTCTCTCTCTCTCTCTCTCTCTCTCTGCTCGATACCAGGGACTAGCCTGCGAAAGGTGTCGCCTTGATGCAGGTATGGACGCCCGAACGACGAAGCTGGAGCGCTGGCGCCAACAGGTGAGTCCTCAGGTAAGTCCCCTGGCCTTCGCCATAGCCCAGTCTCTCTCTCTCTCTCTCTCTCTCTCTCTCTCTCTCTCTCTCTCTCTCTCTCTCTCTCTCTCTCTCTCTCTCTCTCTCTCCTCGGGTGCGCTGTACTGCAGCTGCGCTGGCTGGCGCTGAAGTCCCCCTAATGTGCTATGCTGGCGCTGAAACCCTACCGCTATCATCGACTACTACTACTACTATTACTACTACGCTGAGATCCTACTGGATCCCTCAGTGTCTACCTGAAGAACGCCTATCAATGCCTACCGAGTACTGGGCAGTCTCGCTATGAATAGCGCTGGACTGCCTAGAGGCCGGCCATCCCAAGCCAGGGCCTACATCGGACTGGCGCCAAAATATGAAACCAATGGAGCGAATGGTCCTGGCGCCTAAACTGCTGCGGACTCGAATCAGGGTCTGTACGAACTGGGCCTAATTGACCCTGGCACAAAACTGGTTGAGGGCCTGATGCTTAAATGACGCCCCAGGGCCTACCGCTACTTGTCCTAAATGGACCTACACCCTACTCCCACATGGTCGGGCCCGACAGGGCCTGTGTGGGATCTGAGTAGGCCACCCCCCCCTCCTTCCTTGAAAGATCGAGCTTACCGGCGAGGGCGAAGCTGTCTGTCGGAGGGAGGGATCGAAGTCCATGTGGGTGGGGCAGGTTGTACAACTTCCTTTGCTAGTCCTTGTCGCTCGTAGTGGGCTAGATTAGCGGTGCGGAGGCTTGTAAGTCTGCTCGCGAAATCCACCGCGTGTCGTCGAGGTCGCAACCTCTGAATGTAACCTTGTACTGCATCGGCTTGTTGTCGTACTTGCAGTGCGTGATGATGCGATCGATCTCCTGATGACCATCCATGGAAGGAGGGTCCCGCGATCGTGGGTCCGGGAAGTCGTCGCTCTTGGCTGGTGTATATGTAGCCAGCTTGGAGGTGTGGAAGATCGGGTGGACCGGTAGATGCGGCGGGATTTCGATCACAAATGATGGGCCATCGGTCTCGTCGCCTGCGGATGATGTGACGGTCCACGGTCCAAACCACTTGGGGAGTAGCTTGCGGGAAACGTTTTGTTCGAGCGCAAACTCTTCCGCGGAGACCCAACGGATCGGACATGGCACACAACGCCGATTAGCTTGCTGTTGCATGCGGACTTGAGCCTATTGCATGTTTGCACGGGCTTTGGCCAGCAAGTCTCGGTACTTTCGAACGAAGGAGGGAGAGCAAGGGGCATCAATGTCGGAAGTCCGTGGGAGTAAGAGATCAGCAAAGATACGGACTTTCCGACCACCATGGTGCAACTCGAATGGAGTCACACCGATCGCCGGATGCACCGAAGTGTTGTAGGCGAATTTGATGTCAACCCAATCCTGCTGGTCCGAACGGATGAGCGTACGAAGCATCATTTGAGCAGTTTGATGTGCCCGCTCTGTTTGCCCGTCCGTTTGTGGATGTTGAGCCGAACTTGGTACGCTGTGGCTGCAAATCCAGACAATGTGCAAGAGTCACGCGAGCTCAAAAGCCGTGGCGCAATACTTGGAAGGAAGAAATTGTGCGTACTTACTCAAGCGGCCAATGACCGTGAGAATGTCGTCGTGCCTGAAGCGTTCGAGGGGGAATGGGCCGGTGACATCCATAGCAATGCAGAGGCCGGGTTCCAGAGGGATAAGCAACGGGCGCAGTTGCCCGTAGGGATTGCGATTACGGGGTTTGCTTTGTCTGCGAACTTCACAAGATTCGCAATATCGAGTGACATCGGTAATGATGTCGGGCCACCATAATTGTTGTCGAAGTCTGGCGATCATACAGTTGACTCTGAAGTGGTCGGCACGAGTCCGTAGTCGATGGTCTCGTGGGACGCATAGTGAGTCTTTGCCTCGTGAATGGAGAAGCAAGTAGCCGTCAGACCGACGGGTGATCCAAAGAAAGTTGCTCGTACAGATTGGCATAATCGGTATCCGACTTGTATGCGCGCACAAAATGCTGATGAAGGTCGTTGTCGAAGTCGAACGCGTGATGCAGTGCTGCGCAAAGATCTGATCTTTGCGAGAGAGCATTCGCGGCTCGGTTTGAGAGACCCGAAATGCCGTAGCCGGAAGCGTCCATAGTCACTGTCGTTGGCAAGGTGGGATCATAGATAGTCAAGACGATAGCGAGAAGCAACGCCATCTTCAATTTTTGGAACGAACTCCGGACTTTGTCGGTGAAGTGGAAGGGCACTTTTGGCGACTGCAATTTCGACAAAGGTGCAACGTTCCGTGCATATCCGCTGATGAAGTGTTGGTAGTACCCGACCAATCCCATGAAAGAACGCACTTTCGTAGTGTTGTTGTTCGGTTCCGGCCAATCTTGAATGACCCTGATCTTGTCCGTGAGCGGACGGATGCCTAGTGGCGTCACAAAGTGCCCCAAGTACTCGAGCTCTTGTTGCGCGAATTCGCATTTGGCTCGATTGGCCTTGTACTTGGCCGTATGTAACCTGTACAGAACGGTGCGTAGATGCGCGAGGTGTTCGTCCAAGTCCGGCTATACACCAAAATGTCATCGAGGTAGATGAGCACGAACTGGTCCAACATGTTGTGAAATTCCGTTGTCATTGTCGCTTGGAAGGTGGCCGGGGCATTTGTGAGGCCGAAGAGTGTAGTAGAGTAGAGTGGGTAGAGTATAGTAGAGTGTCGTAGAGTAGAGTGTCGTATTGTGGTGTAGAGTAGAGTAAAGTAGAGTAGAATAGAGTAGAGTGGAGTAGAGTACAGTAGAGTAGAGTAGGGTACAATATAGTAGAGTTTTGTAGAGTGTCGTACTATGTTGTAGAGTGTCATAGAGTAGAAAAGAGTGTCGTAGAGTGTTGTAGAGTAGAATAAAGTGTCGTAGAGTAGAGTAGAGTGTTAGAGAGTGTCGTAGAGTAGAGTAGAGTACAACAAAGTAGAGTAGAGCAGAATAGAGTGGAGTACAATACAATAAGAGTAGAGTAGAGTGTCGTACAATAGAGT